GCTACCTCATCAGGAGAAAGGCCCTCGCCTTTATCCAGGTCTTTCAGCAGGTCAGCCTGGTATGCCTGGAGCACCGCCATCGTGTGCAACGAAGCGACAGCCTGACCTGCTGCTGCGTATGCCCTGCCATTTAAGCGAGATGTATCCTGAAGGGGCTTAGATGGCAAGGAGGGAGTCTTAAGAGAGGATGTCTCACCCATAGAGAGATAGCTAGCCAGCGTCTCTTCTACAGGGGGCATCTTCTCATAGCTGCTTTCGTGCATCCCCTCGATGTTGGCATAACTCATATGCTGGAACCGATGGATGCGTGAGGAAAATGGCCTCTTCCATTCTCTGGAATCTCTGTATGGAGATCAGGAAGAAAAGGAAGGCTCACCTGAGCTGGAGGGCTATGGTCAGTAAGATAACACTCATCGAGACGACCTCGCGACGTCACTTTCTTGGTCCGCTTCCACGGAAAGTCAAGCCTCGCCATGGCGTGATCCATAACCTCCAATAGGTCATCATACGCAGGGCAGGAGGATTGGGAGGGCTCAGCCTCAGCCTCTTCGCCCTCCTCAGACATCTCCTGCTCTTCCTGGGCCGAACCCAGCAGAGAACTGGCCCCTGGATCAGACGATGTTAGGGAAATAACATCATCCTCCAGCGGCTCACTCTCGTCCACAGCCGACGAGCGCGAGAGGGAAAGCCCCTCTTTAAACTCATCGGCCAGATCCACCTGCAATCCCCACGAGCTCATTCTCCTCCGTGCCTCAGCAACGTCCTGAACCACTGGGAGCAGACGGCTGCCCCTCTCTCCTCGAAAAGATAGACAAACGAGAGCGGAGCTTTTTCATCGAAAAACGCTCACAGTTAACGTAGATTGCCCCCTCGAGGACATAGCGTGCGTGCTCTTTGCCCAAACAAAAGACGCAAAGATCATGTCTGTCATCAGGTGTCAAATAACGACGACACGGATGCACACATCTTCTAAACGTCTTGCTAGTGCATAATGAAGGAAGAAAGATCGCTCTTACCATGGAATGCACGCTTCAAACAAAACAGTCAATGAAGACGAAGAAGTGAATGAGGTGTTCTCCCGGCACCTATTTATACTATAGTCGCACCGGTAGTGACGTCATGGGTTGTCGCCGGCCAACATGTTGTTGGAGTTTTTTGAATGTATGCTTCAGACACGGGTTACGACGAGGCGTTCCCCATAGCGACCCCTAGAGGATGCAGTGTCTTGTTCCCTACTCAGGGAACCATGGTTACATAAGTAACCTGAGACGTTTCTTTTATAAGATCGCTCTTACCATGGAATGCACGCTTCAAACAAAACAGTCAATGAAGACGAAGAAGTGAATGACGTGTTCTCCCGGCACCTATTTATACTATAGTCGCACCGGTAGTGACGTCATGGGTTGTCGCCGGCCAACATGTTGTTGGAGTTTTTTGAATGTATGCTTCAGACACGGGTTACGACGAGGCGTTCCCCATAGCGACCCCTAGAGGATGCAGTTCGAAGTACCCTTGAAAGGGAAATACTGATTCACTGTCCACACGAAAACGGCATTTTCAGATTTATTCATTCTAGGACCCGGTTTCAAAAAATATCGGTTTCACTCTCCCAAAACGCCGGATCTGTGTGGACGAAACACCTATACGATACAAAATGTATGCGTATACAGGTTAAACGCGTCTCTGTGTGGAGGGGGCCTGAATCTACCTTTGCTCTTGGGTCCTCTGTTTCACTGACATAATGTAGCTTAAGTTATTAACTTAAGATACTGTAAAAATTTGTGTATGTATTTTTACTGTTCATTTTACATTGTGTACATTTCTATATTAAAATTTTATTGATATAAATAGTCTACTGTACAACTTTCAAGATAAAAATTCTATTCATGCACTGTGGCGCCATCTTGTGTTCATTTGCATTAGCGTGCCCAAAACTATCGCATGTTTCAATACTGCAACAAATAAATGCATTTCAGAATTGATCTTAAAATTATTAAATGTGTATCGATTGATATTTAGGACGTCTGTCATGGCAAGTGTCGATTTAGGTACACAGTACACATAAAAAAAGAAGTATACTTGGTATAGTGCTAAACTCATGTTGGTAGATGCCCGTGGTGTACTTTATTCATGCACTGTGCCAAATGTCATAATTATTATATATAGATAAATATTAAGTTATCGATAAACAGTATATGAATACAACAGTAAACGTTTTTATTGTGCATGAAGAAGGAAACTGCATAATATGGTTCACCGTGAGTATAATACATCTTGCAACAGTTATAAAAGTGACAAGAAAAAAATTTCTGATTGCCCAGAGAAGGTCACTCTTACATTTTCTAAAAACATTTCATTCTCCCTCTATAAACCTTCAACAATGGCTAAAAAAAATTGCAGTCATTCTTCAGCTTTCTGAATGCAGAGGTGGCGCAGACGCTATGAAAGAATGTGTGTTTTCAAACACTCAAGGACACATTACTGCTGTGAGACATGCTTTTCACTTGTTTGAAAGAGGTTCAGAAGCAGAATTAAAAAGAAAGCCATTCTCAGTGAAACTAAGGTCATTCAGGCACCTTTTAAATTGAAAATGAAAGGACAGACTCAGACAACTGTGAACTATCTGCACCAGCAGAGCTACAGATAAATTATTTTATTCATAATGATACTGATGTTTATATTTGGAGGACAATGGTGCACCTATATTTTGGGGGCACCGCAGTTCTCTGCTCAGTCTTTGAAAGAGATATATGTATTTTGTTTGTGAAGGGAATTGTCTGGATTCCAAAATGTACAAAAAGCAATTTTATTACATTTTGTTCAACATTTATTTAGTTTATATTTTGGTTCTGATGATGCCGCCACACAAGAACAGGAGCAGAAGCACTGGAAGACCATACTGGTGGGGATCTGTATGATGGAAATATAGCAGGATACCGGGAGATGTGGGAGCTGTACGGATGTTCTCTTGGAATATCATCAATAAAAAATGTTTACCTCACGTCGATGTCTGTTTGTTTGGGAACCCTTAAAACAAAAAATAATAAAATAATAGGTACATACATACATACATATTAACCTAATGTTTAACCTAATTACTGTGTAAAATTAACACTGTGAAAAAGAAATGTTAAACTTACAGCTGGTCATTCAGTCGAGCATTACTCCTCTTGGTTAGGGTGAGGTCATAATATTGCTGAATGATGACAGACCTGAAGGTATAAGCACATTAAAATCTTAGTCTTAAAATTGATAAAGATAAAGATAAAGAATAAAGATTTTTTTTTCACAAATGAGTGCTTAATAAAATAAATAAAATGTTAATGAAAAATAATAATAAACTAACTTAAAAATAAATTAATACATTCAAATAAAACTATTATTTATTAATAAACATATATATATATATATATAATGTCATTTTTATTTTAAATAGTGTTAAATACATATCAGATATATCTTAAATTTAGCAGTTCACATGATTTTAATTGATTAAATAGTCAAATTAATTACATTAACAAATCAAAAAAATTATGACATTTAAAAAATTAAGTTAAATAATGTAAATATATATATATATATATATATATATATGCACCTGTATATATATATATATATATAATATTTACATTACATTTTTTAGACTTTAACATAGGGCATCCCTAATTCAAGCATTTATAATATATATATTATATATATATATATATATATACATACAGGTGCATCTCAATAAATTAGAATGTCATGGAAAAGTTCATTTATTTCAGTAATTCAACTCAAATT